TGTAAATAATCGAGTCTTGACCTGACAATCCAGTGACTGAAGTGATCATCGATCTACGGCATTGGTATACGATGACATGGATCAATCAAGTCAGCGAGCCTGATCACCTGAACCCGTTTGTCGCATCTTACAAGCATGGGCTGCTGTAGACAAATTTTAACCTGGCTCTTCAAAGGAGGGGTGGGGGGTGGGGTTTGGGTTGTTGGGGGGGTTGTTGGGGGGGTTGTTGGGGGGGGTTAGTTTCAAGACTTGTTGCAATACAATATCCAAGCCATATCTCTGGACGCCAAACAGATACTGCAAATTGAATGTCACACTTTGTAACGTACTTCACATTGTAACTTTGACCTCACATTTTGTAAGAAAGTGACTTCAAACATGCTGTAAAATGGACTTCACACATCGTTACAATGACTGTACACAATGAAGCACGGAGTCCGCATATTGTAACGTAGACTTCATACATGGTAACAAAGACTTCACACATGGTAAGAAGGACTTCGCACATTGTACACCCCTTTCGGCCTACGTAAAATAGTATACTAACATACATCGTTTTACAAGTACAATATAACTAAAAACTTGTCATCAACACAACACTTTCATCTTCATATCTACATAAAGACAAGAACACTTGTCGATCAACATGTGCTCATCCTTTTCGCGAACACCTGGTGTCATCACAGACAGGATCGATTGGTTTTAATTCGTGAAGTGTTTTGATGCATAAGAATTATAATCTTAATTGTTTTGGTTTTTTTTTAAATCAATGTAAGGGTCATGGTTTATCAAGAAGTGCTTTGGATATGCTTATCCTTTACGCGAACACTTGGTGTCGTCACTGACTTTCAGTGATCCAGTGATATAATTTTCACCGCTATTTTGCCTTTTAGGCCCAAAGGAATCTGTTTCGGCGGATAATCGAGACAGGTTATTCTCTGTCGTTGACATAAAATATTTTCAGTAAAACATGCTTATGTAAGAAGCATTTTATTCTTTGAGTGAGTGAGTATGGTTTTACGCCGCTTTTAGCAATATTCAAGCAATATCACGGCGGGGGACACCAGAAATGAGGAACCGAACAACGTGTTTGGGAAACACAAAAATTAACTTTCAGGACTTCTAGAATATCCAGTGAATAATTACATTTTTTGTAAAACCAGAGGCAAAACATTTTTCCAGCATTTTCGGAAACTCAATATTTTTCGAAAAGGTCTTCCGCCCGTCCAGGGTATTGACACCTCGACCCTAACAGTTGATGCATGTACATGATTTACTAGACGATGCTAGCTCCTCCGTGATATCTTCCACACGCATCATCATCAACATTAATACACCCCATACAGCAGAACATCGTCTTAATCAAGCTATGTCAGCGACGCCACATGTCGATGATACATCCACGGACATAGTTATCGTAGTACATATGTCCGAGATAAGGTTTTGATATGTCAGTGGTGTGATATACGTCAGCTTGTTTACTATCTCATGAATGCATACAGCAAGTGTTCGAAATAAGCGCCTGCCCGTAGGCCCGTGTCAGGTAGATCTTGTGTCGGGCCCGTAGTTTTAAAGACCCGTGAAGATTCTGCAACTCACGTTTGCCGTAAAAGGCGACTATGCTTGTCGTAAGAAGCGACTAACGGCATTTGGTGGTCAGTTGGTTGGTTGACTTGAGTTGATGCATGTCATCGTATTCCATTTGCGTGGATCGATGCTCATAACGTCAATCACTGGATTGTAGGGTCCAGATTCGATTATTTACAGATCGCCCTCATGTAGCTGGAATATTGCTGAGTGCAGCGTCAACAAACAAACAAATAAACAAACAAACAAACAACGACTAAAGATGAACCCCGCTGGGGAACAATGAGCAATTAAAAGGATGTGACGGTTGGATCGTGTTTAAACATTGGTTTGTGTTGTCAGGTCTGAGTGTCGCACTTAAATATGATTATTACCAAACAATAATTGTTTCTTCGTACTTTCAGGTTAGTCTTTTATGGAACACAGATATACATTTTAACTCGGAACATCTTTTTTTATCATCATATGTCTCTTAAACACAATCCTGGAGAATTATAACACATATTCCCATTTTAAAAATGTAATTAAAAAGATACAGAACAAAATGTAGAACAGTGCGTTATCTTGTAAAGCTGTGAATGATTGGTGCTTGACGGCGACTATAAATGTGATGTAAATTGTCAACATTTTTAATCTATGGTGATAAATATATTCCTCACATTTTCCTCACTGCCCCTTCCGTCACAAAACGTCACGACTGTCAGTTACGATTGTCCCGAATTTAAAATATGTCTCGCCTTTCATTTGAAATATATAATTGAAATAAATTGTTACGCGCCGAATAAAGATCTTATCGTATGGAAATAAATCGATATGAATAAATATCAGTTTGTATATAGTCCCCGATAACGTACACTTCTATCTGTAGTTCAGAGGCCTATATTTCTGACATACGAATCCAAGATTCATGCCGTATGTCTTCAGGCCGCTGTGAAATATGACTCCCAGACTGGCAAGATGAAAGATTTATATTCATGCCAGCTCGTCGGAAACATTTCGGCCCGTAACCCTGCTTTAAATTTTGTCTGGGTTAGGGTAATGTAACCCTAACCCTTAACCCAAGATATATGATTGTTCATACTTCTAGGCAGGGACAATGATATTTAACGATTATTTCTATGCAGGGGTTACGAGAGGAAGCTTCACAAAGCTCGACTTTAAAACTTACATGACACTGATATAGTAAGCGCATACTCCATATTCGAGTATGCCCAGTACTCGATGTCGTTCAGGACATATTCCCAACGTAACCCATTATTTTCCCTTCACAAAATCTCGAAGGATACATGACCAATGCGTATTTACACAATGAATCACGGCTTTCCTAAAATAATATCTATGATTTGTGTTCTAATTCAGTCAACTGTGAACTGAATATTGTTAAGTATGAGACATGGTTTTTTCCACACTGAGCGTTGTACCGAGCAGACATTAGTAACGCATTTGGTTTCAAGGTAGGCGTGGTCAAAAGGTGACTGTTACACCATCAACTCTCTCATGACCGTTGAGGCACCACTAGCTGTGACTGGTACCCCATCAACACTCTCATGGCCGTTGAGGCACCACTAGCTATGACTGGAACACCATCAACTCTCTCATAGCCGTTGAGGCATCACTAGCTGTGACTGGTACCCCATCAACACTCTCATGGCCGTTGAGGCATCACTAGCTATGACTGGAACACCATCAACTCTCTCATGGCCGTTGAGGCACCACCAGCTATGACTGTTACACCATCAACTCTCTCATGGCCGTTGAGGCACCACCAGCTATGACTGTTACACCATCAACTCTCTCATGGCCGTTGAGGCACCACCAGCTATGACTGGTATCCCATCAACACTCTCATGGCCGTTGAGGCATCACTAGCTATGACTGGTACCCCATCAACACTCTCATGGCCGTTGAGGCACCACTAGCTATGACTGGTACCCCATCAACACTCTCATGGCCGTTGAGGCACCACCAGCTATGACTGGTACCCCATCAACACTCTCATGGACGTTGAGGCACCACTAGCTATGACTGGTACACCATCAACTCTCTCATGGCTGCCAAGGCACCCCTAGCTATGACTGTTACATCATTAAGTCGCACATGGCCACAAAGGCACCAATAAGCTGTGACTCCATCAACGTGATTTTGGCCACACGTAACGACTGCTAAAATGTCCTGAGGCAAAGGAGTGAACTGACTGTAAATGTCCCGTTTCCACCCTTGCCGAACAAGGCCGTAATTTCTGGGCCCGATCGTAGCGCCACCTGTTGCTATTACGAGTTATGTCCCTTCTATGTCCCTCCTGTTGACCAACCAGATGCCATCTCTTATACCAAGTGCATTACTACAAACAAAATGGAGGCGCCCAGTCAAGACGATCTGATCGATAATCAGAAATCACATATATATTGTGATAAAACGGGTCTTACTTCGCGAAGTGTATCAAACCACGTGAGCACTTTGATTAAAACATGAAACATTCAAACATTCAAACATGAAAGATTTGGAAAATATCTGTTGACGTCGAGTTGGCGGTACACATGCTTTGCAAATACTGCATTCGACCGAAATCTACACGGCAGGTGTAACGAACCGGATGTCGATTTCGTTACGCGTTTTTGATTGGACAATACATAGACTCGTTTGTCCAGCCAAAATATAACTCCATAATTCCACCCTAGTTCGGCAAGAGTGGAAACTGGACTATTATATTTAGTTAACCTCCTTACCACAGGGTCCATGTGCTATGACTGTCACGCTATCATTTCCCTCACTTTATGCATTGGCATCAGTTGACACCATCGGGGCACGATGACACTCAGTAAGCCAAGTCACAGAGTCTGACTACCCTATACAGTAAACTACGGTTATAACGAATACGCCCATAACGAACGGACCGATATAACGAACTTATTTTAAGTCCCGGCCATTTGATGTATATATGCTGTATATTTGCTGTATATGTGCTTATAACGAACTAAAATTCGTGGTCCCTTTGAGTTCGTTATAACCGTAGTTTACTGTACATTTCAGGGGCACGGGTGGCCCAGTCGTCTAAGGCGCCGCGATTCGCTGTGCAGAGTTGCGTCCCTTGGGCACGCCAGAAACCTATGATTGTGGGTTCGAATCCCGGTTCGCCCCAATTATGTTTCTAGGTTTGTCAGCACCATACCCGTGCTCGTGGGTTTCACCGAAGTGGTAAACGTCTGAGACCTGCATCACTTCGGGCTTTCCTCCCACATTAAGCTGACACGCCGTGATATAACTGGAATACTGTTAAAAGCGGCGTTAAACCCAACTCACTCACTCACTGTACATTTCAGTCGACTCGTACGAAAAGAATGGACTGTTTGGAACCAACTGTACCCAGGAATCAACACGGGGTTTAAGTTATGATTGTTATACATCTGTTGCAGGGCAAGAGAAATACCGCAGTCTCACAGCATCGTACTACAGAGGAGCTAACGGATGCATAATCATGTTTGACGTCACCAACGAAGAATCCTTCGACCACGTCCACAGATGGTGAGTGAGGGAATTACCGAGTTTACGTCAGGCTACATGTATACATAAGGGTGTGTGCGAGTGAGTGAGCGAATTTAGTTAGCGCGGCTTCTAGCAATATTCCTGCAATATCACGGCTGGCGACACCAGAAATGGGCTTCACACACTGTACCTTAGTGGGGAATCGAACCCCGGCCTACGGTGTAACCAGCCAACGCTTTACCACTAGGCTACCCCTATGCATAAGGAGTGAGTGAGTTTGGTTAACGCCACTTGTAACAGTCAAGTTAATGTGGGAAGAAAGCCCGAAGTGATGCAGGTCTCAGACGTTTACAACAGTGGTGAAACCCACGAGCACGAGTATGGTGCTGACAAACCTAGAAACATAATCGGGGCGAACCGGATTAGCACCCACGATCATAGGTCACTGATGTGCCCAAGGGACGCAGCTCTGCAAAGCGAATTGTGAAGCCTTAGACGACTGGGTCAGTATCCATATTAATGCCATACCTTTGCAGCAAGTATCTTTTACGCCACAGTCAGCAATATGCCCGCTATATCACATCGGCCTGTAATTTATAGTCTGGGACAGAACAAACCAGTGATTAACAGTATGAGCACCGTCCCACGCCGCCGGGTCACGGTGACACGCAATCAACCACGTCACCGAGCCAGGCCAGTCCATCCATTATTTGTGAATCTTATTAAGAAGCAAAGGCTACTTGGGATCTTAACATACCCGGTTTCCCACGGAGGTCGACCCGTGAAGCTCCGGGGGAGAATAGGTCTTCAGCAACCCATGCTTGCCCTAAAAGGCGACTAGCTGTAATATTGCTGAGTGCGGCGTTAAACAACAAACCAACCAACCAACCAACCCACGGAGGTCATGGAAATGAATCTTGTTTGATTTTACAAACGGTTCAAGCTCTTGAATGTCGACACACGATCATCCCTATCTGAGATTGCCTACCGACAGCTACTCGCTAACAGTCGTTTACACAATCAGTTTCTATCGTATACCTGAACACCTTCCTTTAAGGGATCAATGTCGACGTCACTGGTTATTGTCAACATCCCTGAATGACATGGTGACAATATTTTCGATTTGTTTTCCCATATCAATTGGAGCTAAGATACATAAGTAACGAGTTATAATAGTTTCATTGAAGGCAATGACAATCACATCAGCTTTTTTCTTTCTCCAGGTTCGAAGACATAAAAGAATATGCTTCCCAGAAGGAAATCGCAGTTGTGCTTGTTGGCACGAAGTGTCACGAGCATGACCGAGAAGTGGAGATCGCGAGAGCGACCAGCTTCGCGGAGGAACACAATATTCCCTATTTTGAAGTCAGCGCGGAGAGAGACATAGACAGCGTAAATAATGTATTTGATAAGTTGGTGGAAAAAGTACTAGAAAACGTGGCTCGAAACTCCACAATGTCCCAGTCTTCTGATCGATCTGAAGTCAGTAAGTTGTCCCCAGGCCAGAAGAAGAAAAAATCCTGGTGCTCTTGTTGAAGGCGTTGTTGAATACCTTTGTGAAGACGCTATTGATGACTGGAATAACGAACATCTGACAAAAGCCCTAACGGCTTTATCAGATACTGATGAATCTGCCAGACTAAGGGGTGTTGCGAATACGTTGTCCAATGTCGCACAAAAGTTGTAGCTGTAGCTGTAGCTGTAGCTGTTAATATTATTTCGACATATTTTCTCATGCCACAATGCCTCATACGACCTCGCGTAGACATGGGAAACCGGGAAATATGGTTCATATGGGTAAATATGGTCAATATGGGGGGAAATGGTACATAATGGGCCATATGGTGCATATTAGGATATGTAGTGTGCATAGGCTGAACCTTGAAACATGCTATTGGTCGTTTCTGCATATGCAATACAGAAATTTGCGCTCTGATGCAGTAGGTCTTATTAAAAAGTCAAATGTTCTATTTATTGTGTACACGTATTTCATAATGTATTCTCATTTCAGTGTCATTGAAAGAGACAGTAACTAGTTTCGACAAATCTGTTATTTCACTCGAGACCAAATATCCATTGTATTGGTTAAGATGATAGTATTTCGTTACAAAATACATGCGGACTTGAATGGTTTTATTTCACTCGTTAAGTAACAGAAAACAACTATGTAAATAATCGCGACGAAAACCCTTTCATATTCATGAGCAATCTCCGCTAATAGCAGATTCGATTTCACGATTCCAACTTTATCATGAGCATGGGTTTATGGATCACTATCAAATAGTGATGATACCAGGTGTTCGCGTAAAGGTTAGCGTTCCCTGCCCCACCCGTAGCACCCGTCACAAAAACACGCAAAGGCAAGTCAGCTGTTGATCTGAAACAAAAACCGGGAACATATCGTACACGTCAAAATAGGGAATTGCATCGGACACGATTTGTTTTGTCACTGATGCGTCAAATTTGGAAATACCCTCCAGATGTCCACCATAAGCTCTTTTTAAAGCTTTACTGAGGCCTTGAATGTTGTAACCTTGATAAAACAACCTCTGAGCAAGAGTCGTATTACGCTCTTTGAAATCCTGTTACTTCAAGTCTGTTCAAGGCGAATCGGATCTGTTTGTCCAAATAGCAAATATATGTATGTTACTCGTTCGGTCGGTCATCAGAGTCAGCGGACTTGTTTAAGCAACATGAAAGTGAGATGAACAGATGGTGCTGCCGTTGACGTCGGAGTGGAATACTTATGTGATGTGATTTTGCATATTCATCAAAAGATTGGTTGGTTGGTTGGTTGTTTTACGCCGCACTCAGCAATATTCCAGCTATATGACGGCGGTCTGTAAATAATCGACAATCCAGTGATTAATGTCATGAGCATCGATCCACAGCAATTGGGATCGATGACATGCATCAACCAAGTCAGCGAGCCTGACCACCCGATCCCGTTAGTCGCCTTTTACGACAAGTATGGGTTGCTGAAGACCTATTCTACCCCGGAATTTTCACGGGTCTATTCACCAAAAGAACATTGAGCAGTGTAAATATCATTATCAGCCATCTCATCAAATCCCCACACAAATTGAACATGTATGATATGGGCCAACTAAACAACTGAAAACGTTAAATTTAAGTGTGACGGAAAACTTTAAAATATGTTATGAAATGTTTGTTCATATGACTGGAAACTAGCCCTTCTTCTGTCTTACAAAGAAATTTGCAAAAACGCGCAAGGGCATATTTTTCAGCTTTCCCGTTTGCAAATATGACACTTTGAACCTTACTGTACTGTCTTGGCCCTACATCCCAAGAAGCATAGCCGGGGTCAAAGATTAGACATAGCTTCATGACAACCTTATGCAACTAAGAACGTTTACTACAGTTTGTGTTACCAAGTAGAAAACATAACATAAGTGTTGAATAGTTCTTGCAAGATTAATATCGATACTAGGCTTGGATAACTAGGATAGGAGTTAAGAGATTTCATAAACACCTGGGATAAGAGTGAGTCAGTTACAAATATACCTGGGGAAGGAGTTCCTCGGTTGAAGCCCTGTGAAGGCACAGTTCTTCATTGATAACATTACGTCAAAACAATAGGATCACTTTAGTGAATTCTCTCTGTGGGCTGACATTTCATACGCTATTTTTTCAGTTTCCCTCTTTAGATTTCAATGAGTAATAGACAGAATAACGTCCCTGAAGAATGAATGCAGTCCCCCGCCAACGATTCGGGATTAAAACCATTCATTCACTCGGGTCAGACAATTCGTAATTTCTGGAAGCACGTTGGTTATTCTCTCATTATTACACTTGTTCATTGTTTGTATTGTTTACTCGCTTGTCTTAAACCATGTGGATAATAAACATGAAATACGTGTTTCATGCTCTGGATACTATTTCACCTTCTCTATATACCATGTTTGGCTTGTTTGTTGTTGTTTATAGGGCACTGAAGTGAGTGAGTGAGTGAGTATGGTTTAACGCCGCTTTTAGCAATATTCCAGCAATATCACGGCGGGGGACACCAGAAATGGGCTTCACACATTGTACCCATGTCGGGAATCGAACCCGGGTCTTCGGCGTGACCAGCTAACGCTTTAACCACTAGGCTACCCGACCGCCCCGGCACTGAAGTAAACCCACTCGTGATGTTAGTTGTACAGTGGACACACCTAGGGACAACTTTGGAGAACAACATCGGCTTTGTTATACTTCGAATCACATTTGTTTGTTTGTTGTTTAACGCCGCACTCAGCAATATTCCAGCTTTATGACGGCGGTCTGTAAATAATCGAGTCTGGACCAGACAATCCAGTGACTGACATGAACATCGATCCACGCAATTGGGATACGATGCAATGCCTCAACCAACTCAGCGAGTCTGACCACCCGATCCCGTTAGTCGCCTCTTACGACAAGCATAGACGCATCTTACGGCAAGCATGGGTTGCTGAAGACCTATTCTACCCCGGAGCTTCACGGGTCTCCAAGGTAGACTGATAAACAGAATGTCTTTCACTCATGATGTAAATCATGGATTGTCAGGTCCAAACCCGATTATTTACAGACCGCCGTCATATAGCTGGAATATTGCTGAGTGCGGCGTTAAACAACAAACAAACAAAACACTTTGGACGTGTTTCCAAAAATGAATTGCATATAACAATTGTGGGTTGTGCTCGTGTATGTAAAACAGCGGAGGGAGAATAAACCAGGAGGGGCACAACCCCGAGTGGTTTATCATCCTTGCACTGTTTTATTGTACGATAAACCACGACAACGAGTGGTTTATGTCTTATATTAGATATCAACATTATTTACAACATCCCTTAGGGGATAAATAAAATTTACAAGCCTTAAAATATTTTACCCGCATTTAAATAATAATGACTCTCTGACTACAATCCGATTGCGGCAATGTCGGACAAGTCCATCTTCTGAACAGAGGTTAAGTTTGGTATTTCCTGAATGCTAGTATTCTCATGACGATTGTCTGTACCTTTTCTACGAACAAAGATTGGCATATCTCGCCCAATTTTTGATTCGATCTTTCGTCCATTGCGTTTATCCCAGTTGCTCAGCTGCATCTGAGGGGAACAACACATTACCCTTTCACAAACAACGTCGTCCAATTTACGACGTCATCGAGTTGCGAGCGTATGTTCTTATCTCCAGATATGACGTCATGATATGACAATTTATTATATACTTAAGTGTGAAAGAATGAGTTCTCCGCAGTTGAGATAAGTGATATTTTCATTGCAGTGAAGATAACAATTGATATTTCGCTGCAGTGAACATAACACTTGATATTTCACTGCTGTAAAAATGACACTTTGAAGGACTATTGTCATACAAAAGTGACCTCCCCTTAAATTGTCTCCCTTTATCGTAAGTGTCTAGCCCATACACAAAGTTTTATTTTGCCTTGTCAATGTGGAACGAACGTAAAAAGGAAGTCAATAGTTTGTGACAAACTATTGACTTCCTTTTTACGTTCGTTCCACATTGACAAGGCAAAATAATAACAGATGGTCATTTATGGGGTTAATATCGCTTCAGGCTGTTTGTTATACGCTTGAAAAACTTTCGTTATGCACTGTAAATTTTTCACGTAACTCGTCAATCGAGACTGTTCGTTTCGCAAAGCGCCATTTTTTTACTTGACCAGCGGCTTGATAGTCTTCAAGTATATTTTGTTTATAATCATACCTATATGTATGATACAGAATTTTCGTGTCCCTAAATAATTTTTGTTACTTTTGTGTATATATTTTTAAGATTTTGCAAACACGAAACTACTTTTTAGTCGCAAATACAAGGGATGGAGAACCGTCCCTGTGCTAGGTAGGGAAAATTTACGTTTCAAGGTTTTACATTTGTAATGGAATTATAACATTTCCGGAACACAACCGCACAAAAAGTATATAATAAATAGGATATTCCATGTGTCTCGTGAACTCTCATTTCGTGAGGGATGGAAAGGGGACATTTTCACTCGTACGCCACTCGTGCAAATATCTCCTTTTCGGGAGCCTGGATGGTTCAGTCGTCTAAGGCGTCGCAACTCGCAAGGCAATGTCCAAGATTCGCCCTGGTTATGTTTATGTCAGAAGGTTTGTCAGCACCACACCAGTGCTCGTCTAACACCTGCATCACTTTATTTCTCTCACATCAAGTTGACACGCCGTGATGTAACTAAAATAATGTTCAAAGCGGTTTTCAACCAAAGTCACTCACTACAATCATGAATGCCAATGAACATGACATACAAGAGAAATGAGCTCAAGCCAAGAATAGAAAAGACATAGACCGCACGTCTACAGATAATTTTTATAAGCTTAGATATAAGTGTCTGTTAAACACCTCTAGGGGAGGCACGGCGTGAAAATCAGGTCGCTATACGAGTTTCGTAATTAGTGAGGTGAGGTGAAATGGGGAATAACGTCGCGTTCAAGATTTTTGCACTTATATAGCGACGTGCATGTGTGTGTGTGTGTGTGTGTGTGCGCGTGCGTGCTTGTACCGAGTTCGGACTAATGCCGATTGTACCCTGCAAGCCCCTTCAGATTCCATGCTGCAGTTTAACATGAATACCAATATCTGACACAGTAAACACACTCCGAGCCGACTAGTCCTTGTTTAGCCCCTTAATGCCGAGCGCCAGACAGGTAACAACATGTACCATCTTTAAGCACCTTTGGTAGGACGCGACGGGATCTAACCTCGATCCTTTCGCTCTCCGGGCGGACGCTCTACCACTAGACCACGGAGGGGGTCGTTTCGTCATTGGCGAAAGATCGAGAGAGACTAAGGTGACGCAGGTCGTTGACGTTGACCACGTTTCACTTTGGGCAAACCGTCGGTGCCATCATAAGCATCGATCCACGCAATTGGGATACGATGACATGCGAGCCTGACCCCCTGATCCCGTCAGTCGCCTCTTACAAGTATTACGGCAAGCATGCGTTGCTGAAGACCTATTCTACCTCAGATCTTCACGGGTCGACTCGAACTCACGACATGCGGATCCGGGCTATGGTACGTATTTAGTATGGCAACGAGGGTGCACACAATATCAGACATTCGGCTTTGTGTATGTCCAATTATGTTTGGAAAACGAATGTACTAAACAAAATTCAATCAGTTCTAGATTCCGCGAGGACACTTAGGATATGACATCATTTCAATATCTTTTTTACGTACTGCTTCAGAGGTTCATGATGGATATGGCTAAATTTCAGTCCTACGAAATGCGCAAAAGTAAGACTTACAGACATTCATTCCAGTTGATGTCACAGTAGGATTTAGAAAAGCGCCAAATTTCAAGCTCTATTCTGAAAAACAATTTCTACGTTTTTCATTTTCGTGTTTAAGGCAAACAATGTATTGCCACACATACTTTGAATATTGGAGTAACTGTGAATTTTTATCTTGTAATCTATAACGGTAAATAAAATTATTTCAAAATGCCTACGCTAACTGAACTAAATATTAAATTCCGCAGTCATGCGGCCGCTAAATCGACGAGTTTAATCAGAGGTGATTATTGTGGTTTGACACCGCTGATTAACCAATCAGAATCAGGTTTTTTTCCAAATTCATGGTAGATTATGGATGTATACTTTCTCTGCTCGGCCATTGTCAATTTCAGAGACCACTGAGAAATGAGTAAATTACGATCGGTTGGAATGTACATTGATCCGTTGACCAGGACAATCATGTGATCAAACCGTGGTGTAGAATCTTGGGCCTATTAGTATTATTTAGTAATATGAACTTATTGTTAGGATGTCCTCCATCTTAGAAATTCAAAAAAAAGCCTATCGAGAGATGGGAGTTCAAAATGTCTGGAAATGATCCATATTTTGTTTCGAACGGCCTGTCATTTTGAACTTTTCGTCGCCGGCAAAGGAATTATCGATGTACATAAATGATGGCCTTTTTGAAACTGTTCACGTGTATAAGTAGGATTGATAATTTTAGGAGTGACATGTGGCAAGGTGACAAAATACCACCCCACACTGACATGTCATCACTAAATACTAGCAGGTGTTCGCGAACAGTGTAATCGAGGACAGTCCTATCTGTTATCCAGTCTAAGGTCATGACTGGGAGTGTGTTTGTACGCCCCTTTCGAACATTATTCCACTTCTATCACCGTGTATCATCTTAAATCCAAACGTGTCGCAGCACCGAGAAGTTAATTTGTTGAAACCCACGACCCCCAAAATGGGTGCCTACAAACAAAGGGTACAAATCGGGGCAAAACTTGAATTTAAACCCACGGACATCGGATCCTGTCACGATTAGAGGAGCAACTATCTCATAAAAGTTTACAAGTTATGGATCCGCCTCTATTTTGTAACACTACAATAAAACGACAGACGACGGCCATAAAGTGCAGTGCACCGCCATTTAAACTCTAGTTTAATACAGGTACACTCAAAAAGTCGTGTTTACATACACGCACGTGACAGTGAGTGCTAAGTGATTCAATGAGGGGGTCGACAAGTAAGATGGTTTATTTCCTTTGATTTGCTTAAAAAAATTCAGCAGTTTTTCAGAAGCATTAAAACCGCACCGAAAAGTGCGAAATCGGCATAAAAAAGGACATAAAGTTTCAACTTGCTACAGACACTTTATGAATAACTTTCATTAACATTGCAATGATTGGTTTGATTTGTGTCGCAAACAGTCTGTGGTCACGATCTGATTCTTCACCCAGCATTACGCCTTTCATAACATAGAAAGTGGTGTCCACAAGGTTCTTCTTTCTCCCTGTGTCTATCAATGTATATTACAGAGTTTACGCGCCACGCATTTCCCTCTGGGTGGAGGAGACCTTAAAGCAGAGTAGTTGACAAGTTTGGTATTTCGACAGGCAACATTCCGTGTTTTGGTAAGAATATAATGTGGTCCATGTGGTGGATTTGGTCCAAGCAACCTATTATTGTCGTAGGAGATGCCTGAATGAATCGGGAAGACAGATTCAGTGATAGCGTTGCTTGGAGCAAGACGACCTTTAGCACCTCTCACATCTCTCCATAATCTGCATTGCGCTTGTGTCGAGCAGACAAACAAAGATTGTAAAAATGGTTACGTGCGCTAGCAGGTGACTTGTGGCTGAATGTACTTGAAACATGGTCCATAAATCTTATTTAAGATAGTATAAAATTATATGTTATTTCTTTATGCGTTATTCGTGTATAATATAAATCACTTTAGATTGTATAATATACGACGGCACATATATCAGCGTGAGTCACACGTAACATCCTGGACGAGTGCAAGCACACCATACAGTTGGCACATCATATCATGTCCTATAGTGAATAGCATCATGTTCTTCGTGAAGATGTAACCATCATACTCTGAAAGATTATTCTCGTTAAAGCACATATATAATATCGGGCCATTGGGTCATTTCCGATGATGATGATGATGATGATGATAATGATGATGATGATGAGGCCGACAGTAGTATGATATATCATTATATGCATAATATCCAATCACTAAGTGATTGCTCAAAGCGCCTGTCATTTTACCCTGGGAAACGGATAAGTGCGCATACCAATTGCATTCACCTTTCCCTAGGGAGTATCTCTTCAATTCTCGTGAATATTCTCATCGTGTCCATGAACATGTAACCACACCATGCAAGACAGTGTTCCTCCTCGCTACCAACGTTAATCATCATACATCCCTTGACGACGTTTATTCCCAAGAGGTTGTTGTCCTGGACACGTTTGACATCTAAAATGCCACTTAAAGATATCATTCTAAACTGAACTTAAAGAATAAGGAAATCATTTGGAAATTCTATTACACTAAAAGAAAAGAATCACATGCCCTTATGTTTGTTGGTTTGTTCGTTCAACGCTGCACTCAGCAACAGATGACGGCAGTCTATAAATAATCGATCCACGCAATTGGGATAAGATGACATGCATCAACGAGGTCAACGAGCCTGACCACCCGATCCTGTTAATCGCCTCTTTCGACAAGCATAGTCGACAAGCATAGTCGCCTTTTACGTCAAGCATGGGTTGACCCTGATCTTCCCGGGTGCAGGCCTAAATGGATGATTATGTGAGTAACTGCATTTTAATGCCGAGGTCAGCAATGTACCAGGGTAAGTTTTATCAAGGCCTGTAACACATTGAGTCTGGACTTGAGAAACTAGTGACTGAAAGCATGAGCAGCACTCCACATCATCAGGATACAATGATAATATGCAATCAGCACAGGCGGACCAGCCCATCCTTATGTGAGCCTCCTACAGAGCTTTAGGCCCTGGAGGACTATATGACCTGGAACTCCCTAAGGGTGAATCAAATAAAAGCAATTGAAACGTCCTTACCTGAAGTATACATGTTTCGGACCAGGTCCACCATTCTCTTGTCCCGGCGAAGGTAATCAGGGCAGAAACCGCCCGGTATTATCAGGGCAGAAAGGTCCTGTTGACAGGGTGAATGTGTGAGTTGAGTTTAAAGCTGCTTTGATTTGTATGTTTGGTTGGCTAAGCCACACTCAGTCTATGAACATTCGAGTCTAGACTAGACAAACCCAGTTATGATAGTGTGAGCAACGTCCCATTACGTCGTTATGAACCAAGTTACTGAACCCCACCACCCGATAATTAAGCTGCTCCTTAAGACACACGTTACTTGGGACCTATTCTAACCGAATCCCCATGGGTGGTCAGAAAGGGAGTAACAGAGTCTATGTCAGGAAACATGTATGCACTGGGCAGTCATACCAAGGCGACATGGACACGTTCGTTGGTGATTAACACCCTTCAGCATCCAGACACACAGATGAAACTAGTGATGGATATTATGAGCAACGTCCCATGTAGTCAGGGTACCATGCCAAGTAATCAAACACCTCAGCGAGTCTGACCATGCGATCCATTTGGCCACCTCTTACGACCAGCATAGATTCAGTGTGTGTAATGGTGTTAGTGTGTGTTTGTGTTAGTGTGTTAGTAGCAACATAGCGACCTTGCCAACGTTGCCATAAACACCTAATGGTGTTTCTGTGGACGTTAATATGTCTTGCAACATCACATTGACTCGAACCTGCTTCAAGCATATCAATGACGCTCATTTTCGGACAGGCGTGTCATTTCGAAATGTTGAATAATTGCGTAATTTTGTTGTTTTTCTGAGTGGTTGTTGTCAGAACAATTCTCAACAATGCATATGGAATCCCGTTAACGCACATGTTTATCTACCCATTCTTGGGTAGTGAAATGCATGGGGCTTGAATATAAGTCAGATTTTGCATGGAATGTATCCTTTTCTGTAGCAGTTGCGTTTTTGTGACTTGATTCCATACATGTACTACAATATTGAAAAACAAACTTTACTTGTTTGAAAAATACACTAAAACATTGGTGTCACAGGAACTTTTGTTGTTGAGTATACAACAGTATTCGGGACACACATGCAAACTATACTGAACCGCAAAAGAAACGTCCCCATGGATAGATATATGAGAAACCTTATTTGTCCAAACACTGTAAACATACTTTGAGACATATCAAAAAGATGAAACTTGGCAAAACTAATCATCAAGGTTGAAATTAACGTGTCAAATGTCCTTAAAGTGAAACACAACACTAGTCTCTGAGAAAATGACATCACAAGTCAGTATCTTGTGTATCCGCCATGTGCATTGATGACTGCCGTGCAACGTCGATACATGGAATGGATGAGGTGGTTGATGAAGGCCATTGGCAATTGAGCCCACACTCTGAGGAACGCCTGACACAGTTCAGCTGCAGTTGTCGGCCTTGGTCGGACGTCATTCAGCCGTCTTTGAATCTCGTCCAACAGGTGCTCAATGGGATTTAAATCGGGGCTGAGGGCAGGCCACTGCATGGTTCTGATGCCATTCTGCTGGAGGAAGTCTCTTGTTGCTCTCACAGTGTGGGCACAGGCGTTATCATGCTGAAACTCATGGTTGCGGCGACGTACCAAATGAGGTATGGCATCTGGTCTCATGACTTGATCAATGTACCGAGCTGCTGTTGCTCTCTCTCTGCCATCTGCTGTTGAGATACAGTAACGGCTCTTGTCTGAGAAGAGGATTCTTCTCCACTGCTGGTGGCGCCAATGCTGGTGCTGTGTTGCCCACTGAAGATGGTCCCGGCAATGACGTGGTGCCTGAATTGGTCCACGGTGTGGCCTGTGACAGTAAAGGTGTCTGCTCGTCAATCGTTGATGCACAGTGTCCACACTAATGTGTCGCTAGTGTGTCCCCATGGTCTGTCGAGCAGTTTCCGCAGCAGTAACAAAGTGATCTTGAAGATGCTGTCGCACAATCTGATGATCATGACGTCGGGTGGTGACCCTTGGTCTTCCACTGCGTGGTCAGTCATTTGTAGTGTTGATGCACAGTGTCCACACTAATGTGTCGCTAGTGTGTCCCCATGGTCTGTCGAGCAGTTTCCGCATCAGTAACAAAGTGATCTTGAAGATGCTGTCGCACAATCTGATGATCATGACGTCGGGTAGTGACCCTTGGTCTTCCACTGCGTGGTCAGTCATTTGTAGTGTTGGTGCTCTGGTACCGTTGCTGGACCCTGTATACGGTCCTTACATGGACTAGAAATGCATTGGGTTCTTGTCGATTGGTTTGTTCAGCTTGCAATCGTCCAAGGACTTGGTGTTGCTGATTTCTTGTCAATCTTCACATGTGGTAGCAATTCAATAACGAATGAATGTAATCCGATCTGGGTGGATTTTTATAGGGCAAGAAATGGGGGAACGCATGTGCATTTCAATTTGCACGGACCTCACGTGCATCGAGTTACCATGTCAGTTGCCGTGATGTGTTGGGTGATCGGTTTAATTGTCATCAAATTTTATTTTTCTGGACAAGGTAATGTTAAATTTTAGAAACTTTGACAAAAATTACCCAGGTATTTAAATGACAACTTTTCATGCAATGTTACTTGGGGTGACGTTTCTTTTGCGGTTCAGTATAATATACAACCATGCTTATTGTACAGCATTCATACACTATATCGGGAGATTTGAATTTGAATAGGATTTTCAGTGAAAGTGGCAGGCAAACATTCCAAATTACAACTGCATATCTAGCTTATGGTGACATATTCACCCACATGAGAAGGGATCCAAAGTATTCTTGTTGTTGTCACAATTAAATTTGAAAGGGTACACCTCAACATTTTTGTGCGTGCCCTGTGGCACACTTGAAAAAGCAACTAATCTATTCCTGCAGCGTCTGAAGGCACAAGCAACGATGTAGTCATTGATGACTCATAATCAGCCAAGTCACCAAGCCTGAATACAGTGCTTAAAAAATACATATTAAATTAGGGGCAGGGTACAATAAAAAAACCAAGATATTTATTACAAAAAGCCTTACCTCCACTGAAACATTTTCAATGGCTTCGTCCGACACACAGGGGTAGCCATGTTTGCTTGTGTACTTCTTTCCTTTCTCTCCAGATATTGTAACCACAGTATACCCGGCCTCTCGTAGTCGCAGCAGGGGGTACCACAACTACAACATCATCAACGTCTGATGTTTATACAGGACTAGTCGCAGCAGGGGGTACCACAACTACAACATCATCAACATCGTATGTTTATACAGGGGGACTAGTCGCAGCAGGTGGTACCACAACTACAACATCATCAACATCTCATGTTTATACAGGGGGACTAGTCGCAGCAGGGGTACCACAACTACAACATCATCAACATCTGATGTTTATACAGGAGGACTAGTCGCAGCAGGGGGTACCACAACTACAACATCATCAACATCTTATGTTTATACAGGGGGACTAGTCGCAGCAGGTGGTACCACAACTACAACATCATCAACATCTGATGTTTATAAAGGGGGACTAGTCGCAGCAGGTGGTACCACAACTACAACATCATCAACATCTGATGTTTATACAGGACTAGTCGCAGCAGGGGTACCACAACTACAACATCATCAATATCTCATGTTTATACAGGAGGACTAGTCGCAGCAGGGGTACTACAACTACAACATCATCAACGTCTGATGTTTATACAGGACTAGTCACAGCAGGTGGTACCACAACTACAACATCATCAACATCTTATGTTTATACAGGAGGACTAGTCGCAGCAGGGGTACCACAACTACAACATCATCAACATCACATGTTTATACAGGACTAGTCGCAGCTGGGGGTACCACAACTACAACATCATCAACAGCTTATGTTTATACAGGAGGACTAGTCGCAGCAGGGGTACCACAACTACAACATCATCAATATCTCATGTTTATACAGGAGGACTAGTCGCAGCAGGTGGTACCACAACTACAACATTATCAACATCTTATGTTTATACAGGAGGACTAGTCGCAGCAGGGGTACCACAACTACAACATCATCAATATCTCATGTTTATACAGGAGGACTAGTCGCAGCAGGTGGTACCACAACTACAACATCATCAACATCTTATGTTTATACAGGGGGACTAGTCGCAGCAGGTGGTACCACAACTACAACATCATCAATATCTCATGTTTATACAGGAGGACTAGTCATAGCAGAGGATTCTACAACAACCACATTATCAACATCTGATGTTTATACAGAACTAGTCGCAAGAGAGGATTCTACAACTACAACATCATCAACATCTGATGGTTATACAGGACCAGACATCTCATGTTTATACAGGACTAGTCACAGCAGATGATTCCACAAAAACATCATCATCAACATCTCATGTTTATACAGGAGGACTAGTTACAGCAGTGGGTACCACAACTTAAACATCAACATAAGATTTTTTGTCCGTAGGACTAGTGGCAGCAGAGGATTCCACATCTACATCATCAACATCTGAGGTTTATACAGGGGTGCTAATTGGCATTCCTATCATCTTACACTCAAGACATTAAAACACAGATTTACCTGTATGACAACTCAAATCTTTAATGTTTAACAGTCTAGCAGGAAGTGTGAAATCTCATTATACAGATACAATTCTTCCTCTTCACACATGGCAATATGTCTACATTGTCTACAATGCAAGCATTGTCCTTTACATGATGGAAGAGAGCTTGCATGTCTGAGAGGACACCTCCCTCAACAGCTATATTCTAAACTAACTGGAAGCGCTGATCAGCCATACAGCTGGTTGGTATTCTTTTGATGAAGGCGTTTTATTTAAAGTTGTGGTTTTTTGACCTGGTGACCTGCCTGCATACATGAATTTTACCCTTCAATAAACTTTTGAAAAGTCAATATTGTTTTCGACCACTGATTTATACATTTATAAAGTTTATTATACTACGAGGACGAGTTCAGTCTAAACTCAGTGAACAGCCTCTGCCATCTGGTGGATATTGCCTCTGCTTTGGAAGCGAAAGTTGGTGGTTCGATCCTCTGGCCACGTCATACCAAATATAAACGTAAACAGATGTTACTTGTTGTTATCCTGTCTGGCGCTCGGCATGAGAAGATAACATAAAGGTCAGTATAATATGTCCGAGTGGGGTGTCTCTGTTAAACTGTGGGCATGGTATCTCAGTGGGCTAGCACTATAAAACCGACAGAAGTCCGGACCAGTTCGAGTATGAGTGCGAAATCGGACCCTCGGGAAGCGCTCGTAAAATCTTCACCATCATCATCATCATCATCCAGTACAAGCAGCCAAACAAACATTCATGCAAGTTGCTTAAAACGTGCAATAATCCTAACCCTGTTGCACCTCACCTCACTTCTAAACTCAGTCTAGCAATCATCATCATCATCATCATCATCATCCAGTACAAGCAGCCAAACAAACGTTCATGCAAGTTGCTTAATACGTGCAATAATCCTAACCCTGTTGCACCTCACCTCACTTCTATACTCAGTCTAGCAATCATCATCACCATCATCATCATCATCATCATCATCATCATCCAGCACAAGCAGCCAAACAAACGTGCATGCAGGTTGCTAAATATGTGCAATAATCCTAACCCTGTTGCACCCCACCTCACTTCTAAACTCAGTTTAGCGATCATCATCATCACCATCACCATCACCATCACCATCGTGCAGTACAAGCAGCCAAACACACGTGCATGCAGGATCTAAACTCAGTTAAGCGTTTCTTGATAAAATAGCCAGGAGTAAGTGAAAAAAGCGCTAGTAAAATGTACGCGTACTTTCTCTTCCGTATAACGAAAATAGGGTACGTTTACAAACAAAACAGTCAAAGCGTCGCTTCCAAACAACGGAAGTGTTACCGACAGATAAATATCCTAAAAACGTCACATTTGCGTTTTTGTATGTCAGAAAATAAACGCGCAATCATTGAGATATTTCTGTAACGACAACAAAAATTACCCAAGTGGCGTCAGCACTATCATGTCTTTAGTGCCGACACCAGGCCAGGGCAACAGACGCCATTCTCGAGAAGGCAATTGGCTCTCAATTCTTAATGAATGAACTATAAATGGGGTTGAATTTACCGCTTTTCATACCTCTAAATCTTCATAGTTAAATTCCACTAATATTCCAACTTTTTTGGTTGAGGCCATTTTCATGAACAGACACCAACAACAACACGTGTGTATTGCGTTCAGTCAAAGGGAAGTAACTCACCACAGTATTGATATGTTTATTACTGTGATATTTGGGCACGGGTTCGAGGCTGTACAGTGATTTTGTTTTGATTTTAATAATAGTGAGATACTTTTATTTTATGGATGCAGATATAATTCATTTATCGCGGATATACTTAAAATGTATCGTCAATACTTCACGGTCTTGTATATACTACTTTTTGCTGTTGGATCAGAGTTGTGTTGGCAAAACAAAAGACCAAGTATCAGATTTTATTATTTTATATGACGTGTGAAGCCAATTTCTGGTGTCCCCCGCCGTGATATTACTCTAAGATTGCTAAAAGCGGTGTAAAACCATACTCGCTCACTTATTATTTCAATGTAAGTGATATTTGAAAACTATATAAAATCCCTTCTGACAAGAGTTGTGTCCCTTACACCACTTTCCTTTATCAGATCATATTTTTATGATAATCACACATCGCTGTTGAAATGCAAAATTCTACGATATGTGTATGAATATTCTGTATACCGTATCTGTATTCCAACATGTCATTTTGAGGATGTCAACATGTTTGTCAGGGACTTAAAGGGAGACGTTCTCCACCCCCTTGTGTCAAATTCCGGTCCAGGGGGAATTGACTACGATGAAGTGATTACTTTGTTGTTTAACTCCGCACTCAGCAATAATCAAGGTATATCACAGCGGTCTGTAAACAATCGAGTTTGGACAAGACAATCCAGTGATTGACATTATGAGCATCGACCCACACATTTGGGATCGATGACATGTATCAACCAAGTCAGCGAGCCTGACCACCTTATGACAAGCATAGTCGCCTTATACGGAAAGCGTGGGTTGCTGAAGACCCTTTCTAACCCGGAATCTTCACGGGTTCCTTATTGCCGTGATGTACATGACCTTTTGACTTATATTCAAAGGTGTATCTGGAAGCGTTTTAGTAATATTTGAACATGAGCAAGTTTTTCATCCAAGCTAATTCCATAGGATATGTAGAATGATTAAAAAACAACCCAAACACATCATGATGGTAAAAGATCTTGGTCACGGACTTGCTCATTGTTAGATTTTTAATTTAAAGTTCGAAAAGTCAACATTTTGCACTTATTTTACCCATGCAGTTGAGCTTATCAAAAATCCAAAACTTGCAAAAGTGAAAAGAAACAAACTTAGCTGTCAGCCTCGTGAACATATCTGATCATTTTCAAAGCAACCTTTTCATCATCTTTACCATTCATCATGTCCATTGAAGCAAACTGTGCTCTTATCCTACCTCGTCCTCTGCCCGGACTGACACTTTGCTCGAGGGTAGTCCCACTCTTACTGCCATTAATCAGTTCCAGCCGTGAGGATTCATGGCGCGGTAACGCAACAGGCTAGAGGGTTCAATTCACATAAATGTTTATCATCAATTAACAAATTAACAGTAAAGATTTAAGCTATCAGTACGGCCCCATCTTACTAATGCGCCGGAATTCGTTGTGCAGATTGTTCTTGGTTCGAATCCCAGATTTCCTCAGCCTATGATTCTTGGTCTGTCAACACCATACCGTAGTCGTGGGTTTCACCAGAGCGGCACGTCCAAGACCTGCATCACTTCTGCCTTTCCTCCAACATAAAGTTGAATTGACACCAGTGATATAACTGAAATACTGTTCAAATCAGCATTATCAACTATATGTAGGGGAAGATATTATACCTAAGGGCTGTTTTAGGGATATCAGTTTCTTATTACTTACACGGACATTCGTGACCAACTCGTGTTATTCCGAGACAAGCCGAATAGCTTCTTGCAGGTTACGGAAAGAGGCGAGTGGTGACGAATGAAACACGGAAAGCAACCAGGTTGAACTTTATTTCTTTTTGAGTGAGAGGACATTATTTTACGTCATTGTCAGCAATAGAACAGAAGCCGCCACATGCGGTAAATGTAGAACAGAAGCCGTCACATGCGGTAAATGTAGAACAGAAGCCGGCGTATGTGATAAATGTAGAACAGAAGCCGGCATATGTGATAAATATAGAACAGGCGCCGGCATATGTCATAAATGTAGAACAGGTGCCGTCACGTGTGGCAAATGTAGAACAGAAGCCGTCACATGTGGTAAATGTAGAACAGGTGCCGTCACATTTGGTAAATATAGAACAGGTGCCGTCACATGTGGTAAATGTAGAACAGGTGCCATCACATGCGGTAAATGTAGAACCGGTGCCGTCACATGTGGTATATGTAGAACAGACGCCAACACATGTGGTAAATGTAGAACAGGTGCCGTCACATGTGGAAAATGTAGAACAGGTGCCGTCACATGCGGTAAATATAGAACAGGTGCCGTCACATGCGGTAAATTGAAGAACAGACGACGTCATATAACGCCATACGTTGTGCCTTATGCAGTGTATCCTATCAGTCATGTAATGATACAAGTGTGACATGTACGAAGATATGGAAGTTGTATTACTGAATATGTCTCTTTAACATGAGACGTCGAGTTCTCTTGCAGCGTAACACGTAAACCTGACTGTCATGTCGTGACAAAGGGGCATAGTTAAATACTCCCAGGGCTCTATACACTGACATGACCCTGCGCAGACATGACTTACATGTACTCTTACGTCCTTGACATGCTTTTTGTCATGGAAACAAGAGCCTTGTATTTTTTCAAACTAATTTATGCGCGTATAAATCAGTGTACATGCTGTATAATGGCACAGTTGAGTGATCTTGGTGCAGGTGTGCTATTTTACTTTCTCTATTGGGCGCCTTCCTAACATGCATTTTCGGATTTTCTATTAGCAGGTATGCAAATGTACTGTGTATGTCAGTGAGATACATTCGACATTGATACCCAAGTAGCAAATAGTTTCAACTGAAAAAGTCACGCCATGCCAACATTTCAATACACGAGTCCCGCTCATTATCGTCGCAAAGGAGAAACGCGAGACCAGCTATGCAGGCTATCACGTGCTATCGGCAACCCCCCATTGGGATCTTTCAGAGTAAATGGCTACACGATACCCACAAGCTCAAGCAATACAAAGCATAAACTAGGACACGAGACGCACGCATGGCTACCCCAAAGGACCCAAAGAGGTATGAGTAAACAATCAGGGCCTGGTCTCAAAGTATGGCATTTTCCAGTCATTGCATCTTAACCCTTTACGTGCTGCCCGGGGTATATATTACGCTCTGACTTGACCTTCATTGAAATGATGTTAGTTCTGATTAACCCTTCGAGTCGTAATGTGTTTATGTGGCCAAATGACTACAACTTGATTCGCTGGACTCGTGGTAACTCATGAACAAGAGTTTGCATCAGAATAAATCTGTGATCTGATTTCGCCGATTTTAGCAATATTCCAGCAATATCAGAGGACAACATGCATAAGAGGCAACATACATGTGACTTGAACCGGATTATTACGCTTCACGGATCATTACGCATCACGGAGCTTTACTCTTTTGTGCGTGCTTGCGTACTCTTATTTAAACAAGCATGAAGAATTCTCTTTAATAACTTGAATATTGCTGAGTGCGGCGTTAAACAACAAACAAACAAACCAAATTGAAACGCAAAATTTAAACGGAAATCGTGTGTGTGGCTGCTTATCATATAGTCGGTATCGTACGAAGGACTCTGCTTTTAACTGAGTTTTCTGAGGGTTATGGTAAGAGTTTTGTAGCTTTTTTTGGAACAGCTGTATTTCCTTACCAAAGTGGTTGGTTGGTTTGTTGTTTAACGCCGCACTCAGCAATATTCCAGCTATATGACGGCGGTCTGTAAATAATCGAGTCTGGACCAGACAATCCAGTGATTGATATCATGCGCATCGATCCACGCAATTGGGATCGAGCCTGACCACCCGATCCCGTTAGTCGCCTTTTACGACAAGCATAGTCGCCTTTTACGGCAAGCATGGGTTGCTGAAGACCTATTTTACCCCGGAATCTTCACGGGTTCTGACGAAAGTGGATTTTTTGCTTTGAGCAGTGTTCCTTTGCCCAACACACTTCTTTGACTCTTACTGCGCCTAGGCGGGTGGTAGAATGGGCCCGGTTCTATCAATCGGCTGGTCATGCCAAGCCCTGTGTATTGCACAACTGTTTCTTTGAATCTGTTTTTGTCTTGTCACAACGTTATATTCATTGAATTTCTAATGTATTATCGACAAGTATGTTCTTTGCCTAGAGTCGTATGTCCAGAAGGCTCATGGGCCAATCTGGTGAAATGATTACTTGTTTAATTTTTCTGCTGGAGTATATCATCCCAGTATCCTTGGTGCTGCAAGTCGGAGATCCACTTGTTTATAGCACTGTCTATATGACACTCCGTGGAGGGTGGGGAGCTGGGATGATGAATCATTTGACATGCCAACATGGGTCTTGAAACCCCTTTGAAAAAAAACGTCAGCTTGACAATGATCCAAGCACCATTTATAGTCATCGACTCCAAAACAAGTTGAATGCTGGCCAAGGTTTTTGGTTGTTGAGTCTCCGGATAAAGAACCAATTAAACTCAACCTGTTTGCTATTTCAAAAGGAGTGTATGGAATAGCAGGTGATGTAAAGAATATCAAACGCATGAGATCTGGATCACTTCTCATAGAATGTGCTAGAAGACCGCAATCAACTAACCTGTTTCTACCGACACCTTGGCTGGAATTCCTGTTTCAGTATCTGCCCATAGGACCCTCAATTCAAGTAAATGGATTGTTTGACAGAGTTTGACATACTCTGTGAGCTGAAAGATCAAGGCGTCACAGAGGTGAAACGGTTCTCCAGGCGTCTGAACTCTCAAGTGATTCAAACCAACACATACCTGTCTTTGTTTGTCTCTCCAACTGCACCAAAATCCATCAAAGCAGAACAATCACATGTGACTGAAGATTGCAACAGCAACTTCAAAAATGTGTCAACTGCGCGGGTCAGCATTCATCTTCATCAAAAGAGTGCCCAGTATGGAAAAGGGAAATGGAAATCAATAAAATAAAATATACTCAGCACATTGGT